CCTGCTGCCTCCCAGGGTGTGTATTCACAGAAAGCACTTGAACTAGACACTGTAGCACAGGAAGTGGGCACCCTAAGTGGCATCTAAGCGGCTACACCAAATGTCTGCACCGATGTTCACGTTTTTTCTCTGTACTTTTTGCTTCCATGCAATATTTTTATTTGTGTTACTGCATTCAGGAAAGCAAGTTTGCAGGAGTATGGGATGTTTGGGAGAAGGATATTCACACCAAAGGCATGCTCCCATGCCTACAGGGCGTCAGTGCCTAACTCTCAAGTGTCTCATGGCTTCTTGTTGTGACAAAGCTTTGAAAGCGGAAGAGGAGTGGGCAGGGGTGGGCAGAGGTGGGCGGAGAGAGATGGATTTAGGGAAGTGCTCAGTAAAGGGGTGGAGGAAGACAGAAGGCTGTCTGCAGGCTGGAGAAGCTCATGTGAATTTGCTCATGGACTTTTTAGTCAAGAGGTCGGTTGTAAACATCTTTCAAGCTCTCTGGAATCCTTGCTAATTAGCAGAAGCATCCAAAGACATGCCATACAAAGCAAAATCTCTCTAAAAAGAGAATCTTGCTGCCACAAACAAAACTGAAATGATGATAAACGCAGCACATACTCTAATCTGGGAGTCATGTGCCAGTTAACAGAAAATATCTGTACACACACACAAACACCACTGCCACCAGCAGTTCTGATCCCTTAGATCATAGACAAGAGAATTCCAGAATGTTCACCACCTAAGTGACTTAGAAATCCAGCAGCATAAATCAGACAAATTTGTAATGTTTGTGCTTTAAGAAAGGAAAATGGAGGCTCAGAGTGGTTGAGTGGTTGAGTGGTTGACTCAGGGTTATCCAGTTGATAAGACCAAACCTGAGGCCAGTTCTTGACTCTCCATCACTTGGAGTCCTTCCATTTAGCCTCACAAGGCTCAGGCTGAACCTGCCCAGGCCTGCAGGCTAATATGGTACACAGGGTTTGAAAGTGTTAGAAAATAAGAGAGAGAAACCAGAGCAGGATGGAGACACTTGCAGTCCCCTCAGCCCCAGCCCCAATCCTAAGAGGCCATAGTACCACCAGAGGATATGCAAGAGTGAATGCCACATAGGGATGGAGCTTCTTTTCGCAAACATTTCAGGGACTTTTCCCTTTGCAGCCCTCCTAGGCCCTGGGCCATCCTGGATGAAACCGCACCCATAAAAGCCTTGGTAGGCCTCCCGGCCTCAATGAGTGCTAAACTGAAACCACCCTGGAGCTGCAGAGCTCACAGGAATGGTGTTGGAGTAGTTATCCAGGTTGACTGCACCAATTTTTAGGTTTGAGTGGGACCCCTCCTCTTTAAAAGATATATCCATTTCCAATCTCTGGCACCTGTGAATGTGAATTTACTTGTGAAGACCTGGAAGGGGTGATTAAACCAAAGATCATGAGATGAGAAGCTCACGCTGCATTATCTGGGTGGGCCGCCCCAGATCCAAGGACACATGTCCTTGCAAGAGGAAGGCACAGAGAGGCTGGGCACAGAGCAAACAGGACCCAGAAAAGGCACCCATGTTAAGACAGAGGCAGAGAGCAGAAGAGGGTGGCCACCAGCCAGAGAATGCCAGGAGCCACCAGACGCCAGGAGAAAACAGGAGGGATCCTCCTCCTGAGCTGTCCCAGACAGCACAGCCTGCTGAGATCCTGAGTTTGGATATATAGAATCCAGAACTGAGAGAGAATGACTCCTTGTTGTTTCCAGTCACTATCACCATAACAGAAACACAAAACTACACACTGACAATCTTTGTGGATCGGACAACAGCAATAGCAACTAAACACCCAAGGGAAGCAAGGACAACGGCAATGCTGTGGTTAGGACAGGGTTTGAGGGTGGCCCCAAGGGTTTATATCCCTTGGTCCCCAGTGTGACTGTGTTGGAAGGTGTGGAGTAAGAGGCCAGGTCAACAGGAAGTGACGGGGTCATTGGGAATGCTGTCCTCAGAAGGAGCGGATAAAGTTCTCGTGGGTCCCTGACTAGTTTTCTGGACAAGGTTGCGAAGAAAGAGACAGACCAGGCCCATGCTGGCCCCTTTGGCTTCCTGCTCATTTCCCTTCCCCTCACCATCTGATCTCTCCCTCTCACATGAACTCCCACCATGTGAGGCCATCTGCCACGGTACAACACAGCCATGCGGGACCCCACCGGAAGCCAAGTCAATCAGCCTGTCCAACTTGGAAGTCCAGCCCCCAAAGCTGCAAGCTAACTACACGTCTTTTCTTTACACATTATCCAGCCACAGGTGTTTTGTTGGGGCAATGGAAAGGAAACTGACACAAGGATACTTACAATGAGTCCACAATTATCATGTCTCACAGACAACCAGGTCAAAGAGGCAGGGAAGGGGAGACTGGGAGCGGTGCAGCCTGACTTTGCTCCCCACTGCCAGCCAAGCTGCACTGACTCACAGGCTGTCCCACGTCAGGGTAAATAACCCTGCACGCATGCTGTGTAGCTTCCCCACCCATCTGAGGACAGTGTGCCTGCTGGGCAGACCCTGGATTTAAAGTTCCTTGGTGCAAATTGCTCTCAAACTTCCCAACTCTGAAGGCATCATGTGGAAAGTCTCCAAGCCCTATGTTCACATGGCAACCTTCACTGAAACCCGAACCAACTGGTGACACTGTGCAAAGGAAACTGCTTGGGCCTCCAGGACAAAACCAGGACAGACATGCTTCTTCCCAATGGCCTATTCTTGGATGCAGCTCTATTTTACATGGTCCTTCATACAGCTGCAGAATCAGACCTGAGGGCCAGCAGTACACACATGTGCACACATACATGCCTTTCATCACCCCATGATATTTGGGGAATACACTTCCACATGTGGATTGTTTGGATCCAAGCCTCCTGCAAATACACTTATCTCAAAAAAGCGCCTTCCCCCGTCTCCTCCTGTGGCCAAGCACCTGGACAGCAGTTGCTCTGGGGTTTATCCTGCTGCTGATTTGACTCCTAGGCAGGAGATCCAACGTGCGAACCCCACAGGAAATGCTGTCAGGGCACCTTTCTTGGAGGAGCTGTAGTGCGACAAGGGACAGCTTCAGGAGATCATCTTCCCCAACAGCTTTCCTGGGCTGTGTTTCTCCCCAGGTCAAACCACCAGGCTTGAAGAGACCCTTGGCTGACCACGAAAGCACCAGTGGAAAGACTGTGGAAATGCCAGTGGAAAGTGTGAGAATGCCTTGCTCTGTGCACAGATGTGTGTGCATGCATGCATGGATGCACCCACAAATGTGTGCACTTGAGCATGCACCATGGGGGAAAGTGCACTTCTCAGGATTCACACCAACCAGAGCCACAACTCCCACCCCTCATTCTGTGCCCAGTTTTTCAGCACCAGCCTGTGTGGCCTCCTGCATGTACCCTTACCCCTACTGGAAAAGCAGCCAGTGAACAACCCAGTGATATTCTTAGTACACTGTCAGTGTTATGCAACCATCGCCTCTACCTAACTCCAAAATGCTTTCATCATCCTAACAGGAAACTATATCCATGAAGCCAACTTTTTATTTCTCCTTCCTCCAAGGCCATGACAGCCACTGACCTGCTTCTGGTCACTACAGATTTATCAGCCTCAGCTGTTTTATAGAAATGGAGTCACACAACACTGTGTCTTTGAAGGGTGACCTTTTCCACTGACTGTGATGGTATCAAGGTCCACCCACGCTACTGTGGGTACCATGGTTTCACTCAGGCTGTGAGGACACAGACCATTAGCTGGTATGGTTCCTTTTCTGGCAGTCAGGCTGTGAACACAGGCACACATATATATGTTTGTTTATACTTTTCCATCCATTCTCCACACAGTAACCGAACCCAATCACATGGTTCCCTAGATGCAGTCTCTTCCACCACCACCCACATTCGTAGGATAAACCCAGGCTCCTGAAGGTGACTCTCAAGTAGTGGTCCTCTTGTGTCATCATCTGTGCCTGACCTCTGCCTTGAGCCTTTGTAAGCGCAGCTCCCTCTTTCTAGCACTTTCTTCCTCTGGCTCAGAGGCAGTCACAAACTTCCTCATTTCCCAGATGCAATAGGCCCTAGTCCACAGCCCACACTGGGCCAGGATATGCTGGACCTCTGCTATGACATTCCAACAAAGACAAACCATGGTCCCAAAAACCATATGGTGATAAGAGCCTGGTTGCTTGGTTCTCTGACCTGCTGGAAGCTTGCACCAAGATAACATGAATCTAGTATCTCGGCGCCTGAGCGAGCAGTGTGACAAGGTGCATGGTCATGCTCCCAGCCCTGCTCGGCATACACTCTCCACCCTGGAATGTGGGAGGTATGGGGAGCAATCTGTACTTTTGTCATCGGGTTTGGTTAACACCCTAGTGGCCTGGGAGAAGCAGGGTGGTGACTCTATGAACGGGACTCCTGGTATTCCATGTGACAACCTGCACCCAGGAGGAGCCCAACTCAGCCCATAGGGCAGCCGCTGACAAAGCAGGAAACCCAGCTCCTGGCTCAGGGCGGTTACACCTGAACTTGACAGTTTAGTCTTGGCCACAGGGTACTCTGGGTCACACAGGATGTGGTTGCTGAAGGGTGGGGAAGTCTATAACTTCACCTTTCACCCACACTTCCTTTCTGAGTCTTTGCTCCCTGGACCTGAACTCAGTGAACACACGCATCAATGCATGTGGGTACACAGCTGCAGCCAAATGCACACACAAAAGGACCCTCACATCCGCTTTTCAAGCCTCTACTCATAAAAACGACTCACTAGAACCTTCCTTCTGCATAATTTCTCATGTAACCTTCCTGCTTTCCCCTTGAATTTCTTGGTGTCCCAGCTTCCACACAAGCCCTGGGAGAAAGCCAAGCACATTCTACAACATGTCAATCATTTGTACCACCCACCTTATGGGGAGGGAAAGATGGGAAGAGGCCCCCTTTTGTGCATCTCAAAAGATCTGGAGCAAACAACAGTGGTTTCCAGTAGAGCCCATGCCACTTACCTCTAGGACCTTCCCCGTGATGAACTGTTGACATGCCTCACACTTCACCCCAAAGAGCCCCTGGTAGTCCTTCTCGCAGTATGGGGCGCCATCCCTGCAAGATGGAAGCACCTTCAGTTCCTGAGAGGAGGTGGCCAGGGGCTGGGAGTACAGCCCTGTTCCCAGGGATGTGAAGTGAATGCATTTCCCAACATGCACTTGCCTGGGGCGTGGGCCAGACATGGTCAAGAACATAAAGCAAGGCTGCAGAGAAAGTGCTGTGTCCCCCAGGCCACACAGCTGTAACAGCAAGTTACTACATGGTTACCACTATGATCTCTCGGCTGTCTCCGGGACTAATAAGAAAATCCAGCATCACTCTCAGTCATTGGCTTACCCCACAGGGGGCCCAAATACCACCTTCTCCCCTTACACCGCTTCCTTCCCTGAGCGCCCAGACCTGACAGAGTCTCCATGGCCTCAAACACTATTTCCTAGGTCCCCAAGAGGCTGAAGGTCTCACGGTCCATGCCTACATTTATGAGAACACAGCAATGTGGCTATATACTGTGTGCCAGTATGTGAAAACGTTCAAAAGCTTCACTCTAGGCAGTCTTCTACTGCAGTCTTCAATGTTTGCTTAAAAGCTGGGTGGGGTGGGTATTTGTCTTAACGACGAAGGTGCCTGCATCCGGTATCAGAGCGTCTGGGTGGGAATCCCAGCTCCCTCTCCTGACTCCAGCTTCCTGCTAATGCAGCTCCTAAGAGTGAAACAGAGGACAGGATCACCCCTTCCATATCCTCTCTCTGCCCCAATTATATAACAAAGGCAAAGACCCAGTGGTGCGGTTGCTCAATGGCTACAACCTCACCTTGCAAGCATCAGGATCCCACAAGTATCAGTTTATATCCCAGCTCTTCTACTTCCCATCCAGCCCTTTCTTTATGGCTTCAGAAAGCAGTGGAGGACGGCACACAGCCTTGGGACCTGCACCCACTTGGGAGCTCTGGAAGAAGCTCTTGGCTCCTGGCTTCAGATTAGCTCAGTCCTAGCCATTGTGGTCATTTGGGGAGTGAACCAGCAGATGGAACACCTGTCTCTCTGTCTCCCCATACATTTGAACTTTCTTTCCAATAAAACTAAATAAAATTCTTTTTTTTTTTTTAAAAAGGAGGGGGCAGGCCTGGCACGATAGCGTAGTAGTTAAAGTCCTTGCCTTGCATGTGCCAGATTCCCATATGGGTACCGGTTCTAATCCCAGTGGCTCTGCTTCCCATGCAGCTCTCTGCTTGTGGCCTGGGAAAGCAGTCAAGGATGGCCCAAAGCTTTGGGACCCTGCACCTGTGCAGGAGACCCTGAAGAGCTCCTGGCTGCTGGCTTCAGATTGGCTCAGCTCCAGCCATTGCAGTCACTTGGGGAGTGAATCATCAGAGGGAAGATCTTCCTCTCTGTCTTTCCTCCTCTTTGTATATCTGAATTTCCAATAAAACTAAATAAAAAAGGGAGGGGGCTAAAGAAACCTAATCATTTCTATCTTCTATTGGGGACATGCCTCACTGCTACTCAAGAGTCTTTTCTTCTTTTTAAGTTATTTGATTTATTTGAAAAGCAGAGTGAAAGAGAGAGGGAGAGACAGAAAAAGACCTTCCATCTGCTGACCTACTCCTCAAATGGCTATGATAGCCAGGGTTGGACCATGTGAAAGCCAAGAACCTGAACTTCATTTAGGTCTCCCACAGGAATGGTAGTGGCCCAAGCACTTGGGATCATTTTTCACTTTTTGTTTTCTTCCAGATGCATAAGTGAGGATCTGAAATAGAAGTGGAGAAGCTGGGACTGGAATGGCACCAGCATGGTTGTCTGTAACATTGTTTGAAGTGATGGCAGCTTAACCCTCCAAGCCAGGTGGCTGTCTCCCTGAAACTTCTTCATTCTAATGCAGCTGCTGTGGCTGCTATCCCAGCCCCAGGAAATATCAGGGTCACTGTCTTACTATGTGTTTAACTGGGGGAAGGAGTGGGGAGGTAGGTTATCTTAAATAATTCGGGAAGCCTTTTAAAGCCTGAATGGATGTATAATGGGAAATTCTGCCTGATTGCCCTGGTGCCTTCACTGGCCTCTGGGTCAGTTGGCTCCAGCTGATGTCCAGAGCAGTTCTCTGAGCAGAATGAGAGCATGCTAGACAGGCTGCTTGCTGCCCTGGTCTTTACTGGCTCTGCACTCAGCTTTGTGGATTTTTGCATGAAGGGAAGACAGGACCTATGAGGAAGAGAAAGGCTGACCAGCTCTACACAGGAAGAGGGGCAGAATAGCAAAAGGGAAATAACTAAACACTCCACTGGCTACAGCAGGAGTGTTAGTTCAGCTATTCTATCAGGCTACCTTTAAAACATATCATTAAGTTTGCAGGAGCTGAATTACAGCACAAAGAGAAGCATACAATTCTTGCTTAAAATTTTATAGCAAAAAAAAGTGAGTGTGCACTGTGTGGTGCCAATGCAGGTTAGCAACTGCGAAGGGGTGGGACCTGATTTCCAGAGAGCAGAACCCAACCCAGCCTAGAGCCCCACACATCCCAGCTTACTTGCTGATGTATTCCCCAGTGAGGACCTTCCCACAGGACTTGCATTTAAAGCATCCCAAGTGCCACTGCTGGTCCAGCGCCAGCAGCGCCTGCCCATTCTTGATGTCTCTTCCACAGCCAGCACAGTCTGCAAAAGAGAGTAAGCAGTCAGTGGCCAGCACCATTTCATTCCGCTTTGCTAGCCAAGTCTCCCAGCCTCATCATTACCCAGCATGGAACCTGCATGAACTGAATCCCAGGGGATGGATACGGGGGTCTGACCAGCCTCCACCCTCCCTAGGGGTTATGTAAATACCCTCTGAATTGCAGCTTCTTGGCTGTGACTTTCCAAAGGGCTTCTGTCAGTCAAGGGCACCTGTGAGCATCTACACCCCTGCTGATGGGTGCTGGGCACCCCTGTAGATATGAGTACTGGGGAATACCACTACACACCTCATCTGTAGGTGGGACCCTCCTCCTCCATCAGCCCACACCAGTCTCTTGATTTGTGATGACTAAACGACTCTTAATTTGTTAACTTTAAACTGCCCATGGCAGGCTCCTAAAGAAGCAGGAGGAGGAGGGAGTGTTTCTTCCTAGTATAGTGTGAGCCCAGGAAGTGAACCATGGGGCCTGAACCTTGCTCAGCTGGTGTGGGTTAGCCAATGGGCCATGTCCATCACTCCCTCTTCCTAAGGCTCAGATGCGGGCAGACACATCAGCAGCACACTTCCCAAGGCCTTGAGGATCCAGTAAAAGCTTTTTTTTCCCCTTAGCATGCTGGCTGGCATAGGAAGTGGCTTTATAAATATTTGCTATTATTATCACTACCATGGTTATTCTGATGAGTATTTCAAAGAACCCAGAAGAATGTAAATTAGGGCAATCTTTCAGGAAACACCTACAAACATTCAAAAATCAAGGGAATGTGAAAGCAAGCCTTGCTGGCAGACTGGCTGTAATGTGCCCAGTGGATCACACGAACACTTCACAGAACCAACCCCAGTCCAATGCAAGCCCCTCAGTGGTCGTGTTAGGAACAAAACAGAAGGCAAAGACCTTGGCACACAAATGAGAACTCCCTGCCCCTACTCCTGTCCTGTGTGTGACTGCTACTGCTTCACAGCTTGGATTCTCTCCCCTTCTAGAAAAATTGAGGTACCCAAATACCTATTTGCTCCTTTATCTCATCAATACCCACTCCCAAATTTCTCCCACTCCCTAAAATAACCCAGCACAAGCCCAAATCCTACACATGCACCTTCTCCAAGCTCCATCCAGAAAACCCCAACCCACTTCAGTTCCTGTGGCTGTCTTGTCAAAGCTAGTTCAGCAAACTATAGAGGTGTGCCTGGTAAATGCCACCTGCAGGTGTCAACATACCTTTAAACCCAGAAATGGCATGCCTGTGGCCTCACTCTACCAATGTGCTTTCCGAAGAGTGTGTATGTGTGTGTGTGGCATTTTTACAATGACTGAAAATAGCTGGCAGGAACATCCACGAGGGAGCCAACTCCATCACCATGTCGTCAGCAATAAAGAGCTACTACGGCTGTTCAAGGAGGTAGATTCACACGCTCACGTGGAAACACGCCAAAACAGGAAGAAAAGCCAACAGGAGAATGTGTGGAACATAAGCTCATTTACAGAAAAGCACTCAAGCAAAGGTCATGAGTGTATTCTCTTTGCACAACAGAATATTTCTAGGTAAAACCATAAGAGTCTCAAGAAATTTCCTCTTTGGAGGACTTCCTTTGGTGCTTCGTATCTTCTGTGTCGCTCCAGTGACCTCAACCACGACATCATCCAGAAAGCTTCGGGTTTATGTGTATCCCAATACATCACATAAAGGTATCTTAACCAGATACCTTTCCCAGGAGGCTCACAACCGACAGTTCACTTGAAAGATAAAAAATGAAAGGCCATGATATTGGCTTAAACACTAAGCACTTTAAAAAGTTAATTCTTTTGTCTTGTTTTGAAGTAGACTATTTTTAGGGCAGGTTTGGGCCACAGCAACACTGAGATTTCCTGTATACTCCTTCCGCCAACACAAGCATCGTCTCTACGCTTGTCCACACCGCCCCCCTGAGCGGCACGTCCATTGGAGCTGATGGTTTGCACTCTCCAGTCCTCATCACCCAGGGACTACAGCTCACGTCGGGCAGTCTTGGACACGAGCAGCCCATGAGTTCAGATGGATTTCTAATGGCGTTTACTCTTCGTCATAGGATCACACAGAATCACTTCACTGCTCGAGTCCTCAATGCTGTGCCTAGCTCTCATCCCTTCCTCTAACCTCCAGCAACCCAGCTTACTGTTTTCAGAGTTTGACTTTACCAGAGTAAAATAATCAATTTTCAAGCTGAATTGCAGATTTCTCTTATTAGATAATTCCCACTAGGTGGCAGCAAAGATTTAAATAAGCAAAAAAAAAAAAAAAATTGGGCAAAGTTTTTTTTTTTTGTCCTTAAAGCAGCAAAAAAGACTACAGAAGTGGCTTTTCGACTCTTGTCAGTTCTACACATGAAGACTGTTGGTCTCAAAGAGGTTGACAGAACAGGCTGAGATCTCCCAATGTACCAGCTCTAGGGTCCAGAGACCCGATCCGTTGTGGGAATGTCCGAGTGTTGACTTTGGTGTCGGGAAAACCCCAGCAGTGCCCTGTTCCTGCAGCCACAGCCTCTCATGTGGAAAATGCTGAAATGAAACCCTCTTCCTAGCTGTGCTAGGGGAAAACGGGGCAGTGTACAGTAAGCTGCTCAGAAAAACACAGGGGTGGGTACATGTGAGCCGGTTCATCTGGTTCTCCCCTTTTGTGGTCAGGGCAGAACTGGGACCAAAAAGCAGGTCTTTGGACTCTGCCCTCTTTACAAGCACCTTCGTGCCCAGACATTCCAGAGCTGTGCAGGAAGCTAAGACATACTGAGAATCAATAGACCACTGTGAACACTCTACACTGTGTGTGCTTGTGCCAGCAATCAGGAATCATGCAAGGTGCCATTGAGTCTTGATGATCATCCTTGTCAAAGTACCTTCAGTCCCGAAATCCTGACCTATTTGTACCATCTGAACCCTCCATGTCCCCGCCTAGTTCTCCTTAGGGCCCAGGTGATCTGTAAGCAACATGGGTATCTTATGGAGAAACATTTACTGGAAGGTGAATGTTTTAAGCCAACCAGCTGGTAAAGTTGGGCTGGAAGCAGAGGCTAAGGTCAAGCCTGTTTCATCTCAAACTGTAAGGCACAAATCAAGCAAATCAACAAAGTCTGCCTGCAGGAAATCACCCTCAGTCTACATTAGCTGTTCCCAGAGGCTGCTCCTGCTGTCTGGACAAAGCTAGTGTCTTCAGAGCTGGGGAAAGCGGGAAAGATGCATGCTGGATTGGCTACTCCTTTCCTGCTCTCTCTCCAGCTGAGCTCTTTCATAGGAACAAATCGTCCTACTAGCACTCTTCATGTTTTTCAGCTGTTGAGAAAATTGTTTCCACATCACTGAAACAGCTGCTGATAAATATAGAAAGCTGGTGATTGGCACTGGAATTACTGTCAAAGTCAGAAATAGGTGTATGTGGTGCAGTACCAAGGAAATAAAAACTCACCAGCAACTTGCTGATGCTCTAATGGGGCAAAATAATGACCAAATATGAGAAAAGAGACAAATAACCCAGCCTGACTCTTGGCATCAAGGCCAGAGAACAGGGATTTGCATACCAAGCTCTATGTTAAACCAATGTTCAGATACACACCTGATCCCATAGTTGTATTATTTTATGCAAAGATAATAAACATCCCTAATGGAGATCCTGCCTGTCTCTCTAATATTGCTATGCATTTCTATGTTTGGCATAGAGTCACAGGTGCCTGGGCTCTACACGTGTTAAAGTGGAGGACAAGAACAAGGACTTCATACAGTGTTATTGTTCCGAAGCTAAGAGGGATGTCAGCTGCTGGCAGTCCTTAAGTGAGACATTCAGAAGTCTGCATTCTCCTTGACAATTTCTTCTGCCTGCTTAAAAATTCCCTTTGGGAAAAGGGTGTGCCAAAATGGTGACTTAGTTTGTGGAGATGTCTATTCAAACAAGAAAACGGAGGCCAGGGAGCCACAGAAAGGAATACTCAGGGCAGATGTATGGTACAGTTAGGATGCTATTTGGGATACTTCTTATCTCAGAGTGCCAAAGTTCAAGTCTCAGGTCTGCTCCTGACTCCAGTTTCCTGCTGATGCACATGCTGGCAGGCAGTGGTGATGACTCAAGCAGTGAGCTCTCTGCCACCCAGGTGGGAGACCCAGATTGAGTGCCTGGCTCCTTGCTTTGGCCTGGCCCAACCCATGCCACTACAAGCATCTGGAATATCTGTGTACTTCTTAGGGTTTTTTTTTTGCTTATAAAATAAATACGTAAAAGTTAAACAAGATTTTAATGATCTCCTTTCAAAAAGAAAAAGACAACTACATGTTGGCTAAATTTCCCTTTATCCTCACCTTCCCAGGCCTGTATGCTCCAGCCATGCTGGAGTTCATGATGCTAACTGTCCCACCCAAGCTCAAGGCTTAAAGAAACTTAGCTAAAGATAGTAGAGTCAACTTGGTGACTATCAACACCCCATTGCCTACCTATTTCTGAAATCAGAAATCCAAAACTAGGCAGACCAGTTAGTAGGGACTGCTTACACTGCACGGGTGTGATAAGGGATCAGATCCCTCAGTGAAGGTGGGAGGAAACCCCTACCTATTTGTTCAAGAAATGGGGAAGCTAAGGCTTAGAGTGCTGTGGGATCTAATAGAAGCTTTGACATTAGAATTCTTGGGATACATTAACTTGAATGTCCTGGAGCTTGGAAGGACTCATGAACCAGAAATCTGTACCTGCTGAATTAGGAAGGCAGGGGACTAGCTGGAGCCCCCTTGGAGGGCCAGTGAAGAAGGCAGAGGTAGAGTGGTGTGGACCCACACTGAGGCTCACTGCAGGTACACCTGTATCCTCTGCATGGTTCTCATGTCCAGGCATCTTGAATGATCCTGCCTGAGAGAGTGTCTGCTTAGGCTCAGGGACTTTGTTAGTAAGAGACCACAATGGGAAGTCAGGGAGTAGGACCTGAAGTTGGGGAACATTGGGTTGCAATAGGTCAGCCTAAAATGGTACAC